AAAATATATACTTCTAAAAGAATATAACAGTAAAACATATTTTATCCTTATATATGAATTCTTATTCTAACATCTGTCTAGCTGGTCCTCCCCACTTAACCAAATTTTAATGAATAAATTATATAATAATGCGCTATTTATTTCATTTCCGCAAGAAAACATTTTTGCGCTCATTTCGCTTAGCTAAAAAAAAAAATCTTTTTCGTGAGAAGGTTGTCAATCAGCTCCCTCATCTCTCATAAGGGATAAATATGACTGTTTGCTCCAAGAGGCAAATTTTTAAGAGGATACAGCGCAAAAATTGAAATTATATGAATATGAAAGCATATAAATCCTGTATATTTGATTTTCCAAATCGGTTGTTATTAATACATGAAGAGACTAATTGACTGATCTTCTCAACCCTCTCACAAAAAATTTTTTTGCCTAAACGAAATGAGCAAAAAATTTTTTTATTATATAATTTATTCATTAAAATTTGATTAAGTGGGGGAGAGGGGGAGCTAAGCAGATGTCTTATTCTGTATAAGTTTAATGTTTGTTTCCATGATTTATCTTCCAATGTTTTCAACAAAATTTGGATTCGCGTATTTTTATTCGCGTATTCTATTTAGATATTGAAAAGCATTGCTTTTAGCAAGCTACTTTACGATCACGATGTTTCTTTTTCACACACGAACGTTTTATGAGATATTTATATTTTTATGAGTCTGATCTTCGAGATGATATCGATTGTGTCTACCCAGCAGTCGTTCCGAAATTTATCGAGTCCATGGTGTAAGTTTATTTATTTTTTCCAAATATGACATCAATATTCGGAAGACCTTATGAGAAACCTTAAATTTGATCGTGATATGGCAAGATTCGCTTTTATAGCCACGATGCCGACTCTCTTGGCAATTCTTCTTTAATGCCACCGTTATTTTCATCGTTAACGCGGGAACTGAATACTACTAAGATTATATCGAAGATCAGACAGGTTCTGTGTATATTTCGTTACGTGTTAATATTCATAATGCAAATAGAGATGCTAACCATGTATACATAAGTTGGTCTCGCAGAGAGATCAATTACTAATGCACGAGTGAAAGTAGATATATGCATAATATGGTATTCCTTCTATGACATAAATCAGGGATTTTCGATAATGAAAATGTTATACGAAAATGTAATACGAAAATATTATCTGTGTTTTGATATTTTTACAATATACATTATGAAACTGGTGCTTTCTATTTAATGATACAAGTTGACATAAATGTCATTCTATCTTATAATAACAAAGACAAAACAATATACTTATGCCGACTTGTATCACTAAATGGAAGGCATCCAACATAATCATTATGGTTAAAATATTAACCTTTATATATTATATTGAGAATATGCTTTTTATTTATAAGCTTGTATTAGTTGGTTGTTACGAGAATAAAAAAACTAGCGTAATTAAAAATATAAAAATATCAGTGTGAGACTTTCGTTTTAAAATAAAATGTCCGGCAATTTTATTTAGAATATTTCCCCTCGTATACGATCATCATATCGTCACGTTCTTTTTCAAGTGCTCGCAATTTCACTTGATTCAAAATTTCTTTAAAATGTGCCAGGAACATATCACAACGCAGCAAAATGACGTAATCTCGTTAAAGGTGTGCTTCACTAGCGATCTTCATTCTTGATGGGATCAGAAATCCCTCTTAAGGGACCAGAATTTTCAACTTTTCTGCATCTCGTATCTTCATAACGAAAATCTGTGTCGTTCCACTAAATCATCGTATCTTTTCCGACTTGCTGCACTTCTTTATCCTCATGCAATATCGTAAGCAAGCTTTTATTAACAAACTTTTGTTCATAAAGTTGTATCAGTGTTAACGACTGGAATCCGCAAACTTGTCATTCCCAGTATCATGAAAAAGAAGAAAGGCTCTTCTCGAGAAAAATCATAAACGCCACAAGAGAAGTGCGAACCGATTCCTATGACGCAAACAGCCCGACGAAATTTTCCGCTGACGCGCATTTTCTCTGTCGTGGGCTGATCATAATACCGGCAAAAGCGAGAAACTCTAGAAACTTGAGACCGAGGACGAAAGGTCGGGGTCTTGTATCAACGTGGAAATTATATGGAACACGCGCACGCTGCACCCACGCACCAGACGGTTTTGTTACGATCGCGTCTTAATACAACGCGCAGCGTTTCCAGATAGAAATGTATTGCTACATATTATTGTAAGTGCTGCAGTAAATGCTGTAGTACCTAATACAGTTGTCGTCAGTACAGCGCTTTCTTATTCCATTTTATTATTTCCCTGCGGCGGACTATTATTTCTGAGTATTTCAATTTTCTATCAACAAACTATTTTTGTAATCTGTGTAAGTGTTGCATTATTT